GATATAGAATTGTGAAATCATGATAATTCAATTTTGAACAATATTTTAGACTTAATTCTTTTAAAAAGGTTTCTTAAAAATACCTTTTTTACACTTGAATTAAAATGATGACAGTGAGAAATAAAATTACGTTTATATTAACTGCTTTGAGGCTCAGCTGAGTTAAACAGCTACAGAATAATTTTGCCATAAAGCACAGGATGAAAACCTATTTTTATGTTCACATGCAATCGTTTATGCATGCACATGTCTTCATGTACAGTGTGACTACCATGCGCAGATAATGTTTTTTTTTTTTTTTTTGCCTGGGAGAATAATCTTGCATTTAAGATGCAAGTGTGTTTATGCTTTTGGTGTGGGTGCATTTTCAGTGGGGTCTTTGTCAGGTATATGCGGAGCCAGAATCACCACATCTGTAAGCAGGTCAGTCTCGGAAGCTCCCCTTGAGGAAACCTGAAAGAGTTCTATACCACCTCTAATGATCCAGCACCATTTTTTTCAAGAAAGTGGAACCTACTCTCCTGACCTCAAAAAATAAGAAGCAAATACAAAATCTCAATTAGACAACTGGCACACAATAGCCTGCTATATATTCCCTAAAATCAATCATAATATCAAAATAAATGCTATCACCAAAATAGTATTTGCATCACCTTCAAGATAATAATTTGGTTATAAGTTATAACCATCTCATTTGCCAATGTAAGTTAATATTGTTGTTATATATTTGCTAGAAGGCAAAACAAATATGCACCCATGTGAAATGAGAATAGCAAATATTAATGCTTCACTGTGGAAGTGTTACACAAGAATGTTTTATTTATTTTCATCTGATATGCCTGATTGAACTGTGTCAACAAATTCACATGAGAGTCAGTGAAAAAATATGTTGTGTCAAAATTGTTAAACATGCAAACTATGATACGCAGTTAAATAGGCATGGAGTTACTATCTTTCCCAGCCTTTTTTTCTGAATTCATAGCTCATTCACTGACCATCTTTAAATATCTTATTAAATCATCAATAAGCAGATAGACAGACTGATAGAAAAGGAAAGTGTAAAGCAGGGATGCAATTATTCATACCATTATAAGAGGCACTTTTGAACACAAATAATTTCATCAGTCTGTAAATTATTAATGGCTCTCAGGTCAAACCACATCATCCTTATCCATCAACACGTTCCGTTTTGACATTGATCTTTTCCCCCCTTTGCCTTCCGTATCTGTTGCCTCTGAAGGACAGGAACACTCCAGTGCTTATTTTAGCTGATCTCTGAATATGAAGATCCTTTAGAATTGGACCACTCAATCTGTCCATCAGCCCTTGAGAGACTGGCAGATGTCACAGAGGATTCATATCAAAGTTTGTGCATGGAAGTGCAATGTGGAGTGCTTCTGTCTGATCTGGGAAGATTGAGACCCTGTGGTCAGTGTCTGGGCAAGGATGTTCTGTGTGGGAAAGATTGTATCCTCAGTGTGTCATTTTGCACCTTACATAGCCCTTTTTTAACTCCTCATGCCCGTGTGAGTGACTGTGAGGTGATCTATCACTCACACCTCAGAGTCACAGACATATTATACTTTATTTCATTTTATTAAAAAAGCTTAAACCCCCCCCACCCCCCCACATTTTTCAATTACCCTGATACAGAGAGCTGTTGAAACCTTATAATGTTAAATGGTGAACAGGACAAAGATACAAAAGACAACCGATGTGATCTTTCATAATAAGGCTGTGACATTTCATCAAATTACATTCTGCTGTCTCATTTTACAATAATGGCATTTTCTTGAAATTGAAACTTGAAAATCATCTCATCAAGGCATATCAATGACTTGTCACATAGTTTTTACAATTTACCTCTTGTTAAATTCATACAGAAAATTGTTGAGGAATTTGTTCTCAGAAAACAAATATTGTAGAAATGTATCAGGTCAGAGGAAGTTAATAAATGATTATTTAGTCATGCATACATCAATATTTAACTGCCACATTAATATTCATTGTAGACTAAGAATCCATATTTATCATATATGTATTAGAGATAGGGGAGTAATTTATCTTAAAATCATACACAAGAACATGCTTAACTTCATCTCTCGCTCAATCATCTTAAAAAAAGAAACAAAAAAAATCTTTATATAAATATTAGAATTTTTGATTTTTATTATTCTACCTATTTTCTTACTGGCCCCATTCAAAACTAAACAATGATGTTGTGTATTTAAACTCTCACCCTTGAACCTTGCTTAGTTAGATGCTCTCTAACAGTGCACTTTTTTTCTCTATACCACAGCCAAATGTAATGCGTAATATAAAATCAATACATACTGTGCTAAATGTCAAATACAGAACATACATTATTAAAGAACAGTCGTCTCAGTCTCTCTCTTACTCTTATTCCTTCTGACAGGCACACTTCAGGTGTAAAAGCTGATATGCCATTCCATACTGCCCATAGCACTTGGCCAGCTCTCAGCAGCCATTGATGCGGGTGTCAAGTCCGATACATCACAGGCTTTCCACTAGAGACGTGGCAATTGTTACGTGACTGCGGGATGTGGCCAGATTAAATGTGTAACTAAGTTTGGGGTCAGCGGGCACTAGACAGATCCCTGCTATTAGACCAAGAGGAGGGAGACAGTGAGGGAAAATGAGCTGCATTGACTCTTCAGCACGAGAAGTGAGACAATCTGAGAAATGAGAGACGTGGAAAAGTTTCTCAGAAGGGAAGAAGCTGAATGCTGTTGCTGGGTTTCTCAAATGTAATAGTCAGAGAGTGGACGAATGGGTTGGAGCCTTAGCACTGACTTGGAAACTAGTGAGAGTGTTTTGTCATAAGATTTATGAATTTATGAACTCAGATTTATGAAAACCAGTTTTTTACTGGTTGTTGTATTGAAACAATCTCTTTGAAAAGTCTTTTTCAGTCTCAGCCAGAGGCTGAAAATATTTATTTCCTCAGGCTTTCGCTGGGGAGACAAAACTATAAAGTATATGGTATATTATTATCTTTTAAAAGTACTGTTTTTTTTTAAACAGATATGAAGAATAGGGAGTAAACAGTGGCAGGGATCTACTCACATTAAACTCGCGTGGGCCCTCGGCTGCCATATAAATCCATTTGTTGCCCTGAGGCAACAAGCTTCATCTGTGCCGGGAGTTTGAACGCCTGGAGAAATGAGCGTCCATGGTCTTTGATCTAAGTCTCTCGTGCATGATTGTATCTTTGCAATCCAATGCACTTTGGCATGCTCTGTAAATTACACTATAGCCACAGCACCAAAGTGCATCAGCCACTTTTGGCAATTGTACCTTTTTTACACAAATTACATAACGAATCCCGTTTTTAATCTAAACATCCAATTACAGCCGCAATCAGTAATAATAATAATACTAAAATCATAAAAAGTTGATAAATGACAGAAGCTTTTCTGAGAAATAGAGATAGCCCTCCTGAAAATGACAGTCTTCCTTGTCATCCTATAAAGTTTAATGCCGAACTCTGTCTGCTCATAGTAAATGTAATGTTCAGTGTCTGTTTGCCAGAAAAAGGGATCAGGGGAATTTATTTTTATGGCCCCCTTCAGAAAGTGAACTATAAGTAATGTTGCACCTACATGTCAACTAACTCTCTTTATAGTATGAATAGATTATTAGTAGACTGTCTGCTTAAAATATGCTAACATTTAGTGTCATGGTCATCCAACAGACATTTATACTGACAAAAAGTCACTTTTCAAGTACATGTCAACGTATTCTACAAACCCTAACGCTTATTATACGAAACCTACCCTTAACAGTTTACTGATACTCTACTAACACTCTAATGCAAGTTATTTGACATTTAGGTGCAACGTTACTAATAGTCAACAGAATGTTTAAAGTGGACAATCAAAATAAAGTGTAACCTGGATCAGCAATATTTCTGTATGTAAAGGGATTTTTTGTGTGTATGTTTAAGATACTCACTATATATATATATATATATATATATATATATATATATATATATATATATATATATGCTTGTATCCAGCCTACCAGACAAGAATATGCGAGCATGCGGGGAGCATTTATTTAGAAAGTTGCAGTTAAGTATGATCACGTTAGCAGGAAAAATGGTCCATTGTCAGTATATATGATGGACAGCTCACAAAGAAATCACTTTCAAACCAAGCAGCTTTCCATTGGTCAACACTGCAAATTTGTATGACCAATGAAATCAATGTCGGGAAACTGTCTCCCTCACACGAAAATCACGACTGTGTGGGTTCCTATTGAAATTACTGGATTTGACAAAATAAAAACTTGCTGAACAATGGTAAATGTGATTGCACCTTTAGAGTTTCTCATGCAGAGAATTTTGTGCTTTTAAACAGTATGTTGAAAGTCAGAGCATCTGTAAATTTTCCCACTTCATGAATGTTTGGAGTGGGGTTTCTCTCTACAGGAAGAGAAACATGGAAAACCTAGTGTGGAGCTCGAGCTAAGTGATAACAGAACAGTTTGAGTGGAGGACGGAAAATCATGTAACTCTGCTCCACTGATAACGTACACTGTTCCAGACTGCTTTCCAATCTGTACATTGCTGTACATTTTTAATGCTTGGCTTCTTTTGTAACTATTTTCATTGGCAAATGAGAAGTATAGAAAATAAATGGCATTTTTTGTTTGAAAAGTAAACTACTGTACATGATATTAACTGGTTAAGTGTGGCATCATGACCATACTTCCATGTTGATATTCAGTACAACAGCACACACATCTTAACATAGATCTTAATATACATCGAAACAACTTAACCACAAACACCCAGCAATTATAAAGGTAATAGCAGCTGTTTAAAGGGTGATAAAGTGAATGCGGCAATCTATTGGTTGTGGGCATTGTAAATTTCATTCAGTGCAGTCCAATGGCAACTAGAGAGAGAGAGAGAGAGAGAGAGAGAGAGAGAGAGAGAGAGAGAGAGAGAGAGAGAGAGAGAGAGAGAGAGAGAGAGAGAGAGAGAGAGACGCCTGATACAGCCTCAGTCTCTTTCCCTTTAATCTCTTTTTTTCAGTCAGTGCTGCCTCTTTCTATGGAGACAATCAGATTATCTACAATTTACTGTTTCTCCGCAGTGATTTCAACGCATTACCTTAATCTATGTGGGTCATTTACATCAGATATGTTGCCGCGTCTCTGTTGAACAGTCTCCGGTGAGCCACCTCTCTTTCGGACGGCAGCATCACGTTGGATTTTAACAGGGGCAGAACGGAGTTAGATTTTTTCCCTTGTGTGGCACATACATTTTGACCGTACCCCAGGTAGTCGGGCGTCAGGACAGAAGCCGTACAATGCAGATACTGCAAAGGTAAGACACACGAGCAGCCGTGGAAGTTAAAGTAGCCCATCTCTATTTTTACACAGTTGAACTGTCTGACGCCGCGTACACGGTTATTTCCCGCTGCTTCACAAGATTTTCCCCCTCTTTCTCTCGCTCTCTGAAAGCTTCATCCATCCGGACTATGCAACGATTTTGCTTTTGAGTGTTTAATTCGCGCCGGCTACACGCGCTGCATGATTTGCATGAAAAGGGCTGACCGTACAACCTGTTTCAGTAGTTTTTTGGGCAATAGTACATTTTGCATTTCGATTTTTTCGTCATCGAAATAATAAGTAGCCTATGATCATTAAAACCCTTATATTCTGCTTTCCGATATTAGTGGTATCCACATTTAGAGTTGAAAAGCAAGTATAGCCTTCTGCACGAAAGAGTCTTTCATATGCGTCATGGGAAATGGGCAAAATGTACGCACTTGGACAGTCAGCATATGAGGGGAAATGGCTTTAGAAGGGGAATCGTGTGGCAGAACTAAGTGTTTCAGTAGGCTATAGCACTACTTACCTGTGGCTAACCAAAGCTCGGTACAGTGAGATATGCTTCATGATTGTTTTCCTCACTAGTGCACATCCATGTGTGTTAATCAGACACTCGGCTAAAGATGTGGTGGCGATAAATCGTTCGATATTTCGTTTCTCGAGAGTCATAATATTCGATCAAGCTTTGAAAAAGGCGAGGTTAGACTACTTAAAACACATAATATAGTCGCGATAAAATACAATATCAGTCTGAGATGGGACACTTAAGGTGCGCCCTGATTGAAGAAGATTTAGTTTAGCGATATGGTTTGTTTTGTTACTTAACTCTGGCCTATAGCTTTGCTGTTGGCTACAGAAGAACTACATTCTCCTCAAAAGATGCGGTGACTCCGGACTTTCATCACAGGGACCACTGTTTCAGTCCAAGCTATTCCGCTTATGCAGCGGTGAGCCACAAGGTGGTACTGTGGACATCTCCATGCGTGTTTGGGCGACGGAGTTGGCCGCCTCTCGAACATTCGCACTGTACAACATTTTAACCTTCACTACTGTCAGGATGCGCGGGTGAAATAATGTTCATACTTAAGGATGTGCAAACAGCTTCAATCATTCTAATTACGTTAATTAACTTTATGCAGGCCTATGTAATTGTGTCCGTAGACCCGAATAGTTTGACCTGTAACTTAGGCTACTAATAAAAGTTTTGAACAAATTTTTTATTTGTATACATTTTTGTATAGGCCTACAATTTACCACGTGGGGCAACTTTCTTATCTATAGTAGTATGGGATCTTGGTGTTACGTTTTATTAAGTTTTGGGCAGATATATTTAGCAGATTTAGGTGGTAATAGGATGTTGATATGAAGAGGCCCGGACTGATCATGAGCTTGAGAACCTTTTTTTTTTCACTGTTGATTTAATTAAGCTACAAATAGAATGCGATTAAGCTACCTTTGAGTGTTTAATCACATGAATTGAATATTCTAATTTAAAAATAGGCTGCTGCTTTTAAGAGCAATATTTATTCTGGTCCTAGTCGTTTAGAGGTGCAGTTCAGTATACGTTTCTCTTTCTCTCTCACTAGCTCATAGGATCAGTGGTTTGTCTTTGAATACATTTTCACTCTCTCTCTTTGCTTACTGGGGTTCCTGTCCACACTCAGTCAACTGACAGAAATATAGAAAGAGAGAATACAGCTTGAGAAAACAAATTCCAGCTGACTTGCTAGTCCAGACGCCATGTTGAATAAGTCATAGCAGGTGCATTTGCAGCGGAATCGCCCCACGTTTATCCGAAGTTCACCCAAAGGTCACAGCGGTTTCTATGCTTTATTTCTTGGTCTATCGTTTGGACCGAATCAATACACTATCTCCTTTGCATCATGAGTCACTATTTGAACAGTGCAATTGTTAGAGCCTCCTTCAAAAAGATCATTTATTATAATTAAAATGCAGAGAGAGACCCGGCACCTTCATTGAGATTCGCGTGAGTTATCTTCAGTGATCACACAGGCAGCGATTCTATTTTCTCTCCGTTTATTCTCCTTGGTGTCTTTCCTTCTTTTTATTTTTCAGACTCACCCAAAAAAAGTATTAAAATTCCAACCAATCACCTTTATCTAAATGTAACTTAGACAGATGTGGCCGTGGGGAAAATTATGATTTTAAAATGTTATGCATTTAATACTAGAATAGGGGGAATACTCATTTTTATAATAAGTAAATTGAGATCATCACTAAACTGGTTGAATATTTAAAAATGTTATTTACTGTATTTATTCATTTACTTACGTTACCATTTAAAACAAAACATCACATTTTCTTGATGCAATGAAGGAAGAGTTCACCCCAAATTAAACTCTCTTTTTGATGCTCAAAAATTGTATGACTTTCTTTCTTCTGTGGAGCGTAAAAGAAGATATTTTGAAATATGTCACTTTGAGTGTTGTTATTATTATCATTATTATTATTTCCACCAGACAATGAGGTCCAATGTTGTTTTGGACTCCAATGACTCTTTTATTGTGTGGACAAAAACTCTTCAGAACAATAAGGAGTTAACCAAAGGAACCTTTCTTTTTGGTTGAACTATCCATTTGGGCTGATAGCCAGTATAGACACATATATTCTTTGTACTTGTTTGTTGCAATAGGGTATTTTGGCAGAAAGTGCCTTCAAACTGAGCCTCTTGAATTTAAGCATTGCTTGAGGATGTAGCAATATTGGTGTAAAGTTATTGAATAAATCCCTCTTGGCTGATCTAGCTTGGACACCAGACGAAGAGTGCATACAAACTGGTGGATGTTACATGGCTTTTTGTCTGCGTTGGAAATTAAATTGCTGGCCAGACATTCAGACCCATCTGCTTTGGAGGACAAATATGTACGTGAAAGGTTTTCTGAAAGCCCAACTCAATGTCAGGATATTTGATGATCAACGGCAAAGAAAACAAGGGTTTTTAAATTAGTAGGACTACAGAGCAACAAAGGCCTCTTGATGGATAATGGTCTTAATTCTTAATCGTTTACCAGTCTATTAAAATGTGATTAATTTTTTTAGAACACTTTCTTTTTTTTTGTATCTCTTCATAATGAAGCCACTGCAGCATGTACAACACAAGCCTTGATGTCTGGGCTAAATTATGGTTTTAATAAAAAAATAAAAAAAATAGAGTAGACTTCAAACCCCAAGGTGTCATGAGATGGGTTTTTCTCAGACTACCAATACAGATCTTTTAAAGCATGTCATGTGTAATGTGTACAGGGACTCAATCCTTATGAAATTCTTACTCCTTCATTATATTCTGCCTTAGAGGAATATCACCTTTCAAATGCTCTTAAATCCCTGTAAATGTTAAGCAGAATAATATTTTACAGTCATTTACCATACCAGGGGATGTTTTCTGCATTGTATAAAGGAGATAATGCTTCTTTGTTGTTTGTTTTCTTGTGCTTTCATGTTTTCTCTTGTGACTGTCAGTGCTTTAAAACATCCTGCTGTTGTAAAGCGTTCTGTTATGAAGTGGAGAAGTAGAGATAACCCTAATCCTTTTGTAATTTAGCATTGCTCAACACCAATTTAAGTTAATGTGACTGTCTCAATGAGTCTATTATATCATCACTGCATTGTTCGCACAATTAACTTTCCATGGGTTATGCTATCTACTATCTGATCTCTGCTGAAATTGCTTTTTGATATGAGGAAATGAAAAAGTTGTATTAATCAATCTTAGATTCTTGAAGAATTATTTAGAAAGGCTTTGAAAATTACAATGTAGATAACGCTGGGTGTGACATCTGTTGAACACACCATATTTTGAAACTGTTGGCAAAATGATGCCTTTTTATATGTTGAGGATTTCAATTTAAATAAGAGGTACTGATCCAAGAACAATCTCATAAGAAGCTTCCCCACTTCGGTTTCACTGACAGAGCTATTAATGGAGGGATCAGAGCGAACAAAAGAGTTCATCAGTTGTAGTTTTACTCAGGACTTAAGTCATTAAAGTTTCCCTCCAGAGGCTCCAAGGAGTACAGCTCAGTAATTTGAGGCAAATGTGCATGAACAATCCATAAGATGATCTTGAACCTTATATAAAGCTAAACAAATCAGAGCTGTGGTGTGTGTTGTACAACTGTGTTGAAGTTCAAGAGTATCAAAAGCACCAACCGATGAGGATCTTCTCAATTCTTTTCACACCCACTCTCTTCCTCTTTCTTGTATGTGGATGAAATGCATAGAGCATTCATTATTCAAATTCTCTCGCTGGGTAGCATTTCTTTTGCGTTATCTGCTCTCAGCTTTGTGTGCTTCTTCTGTTTGTTCATTCAGGTGGAAAGATTATCGTTTTTTCAGACAATAAATGTGATGCAGACATATCGTTTTACTATTCGCATATATTTAAATCAGTGGCAAATTTGTATTCACATCTACTCCAATATATGTCTCTAAGGAAATTTATTTTGAATGCTTTTTGATTTATTCCAGAGGATCTTCCTGGAAAGATTCCTGAAAACAGTGACCTTTAGTGTTTCCACAGCAAGAGGCGTCTCAAACCAATGTTTTTCTTGTCATTTATTCTTCTGTAATCCTGTACGAATGGTTTCCTATTGCTAAATTCCCAAATTTGTACTTGAACAACATATCAGAGTCAAAGGATAATGGATAAATCTGTTTAGATTTGTGTAGATGACTCAGCCAGAGACATGATGAATTCTACTCTCTGGGCATGCTCATTGCCTTTATATATCAGGCTATTATTGATGATGATTCTGAAGAGTATTCTGTAGCTCAAACAGCTGAACATGGTGGTAGTGCAATGCAAATGTCATGGGTTCGAATCCCAGGAAATGCCTGGACTGATAACATGTTTGCTTTGAATGCAATGTAAGTTGCTTTGGATAAAGGTTTCTTTCAAATACATAAATGTAAATATGACAAAAAACAACACACATCCATATTTCAGGATTTGGAATATCAGAATGAAAACTAATAGCATTCATTACTGGATCAAGCCATCAAAATACTTCAAAGTCTCAGATTGGTCTTTCCTACATTAAATGGATAGTTCACCCCACAATTAATAATTGATTCACCCTCAAGTTGTTCCAAACCTGTATGATTTTTTTTCTGAACACAAAAGAAGATATTTTGAAAATGGTTTACCAAACAGTTGATGGGCACCATTGACTTCCATAGTATGGGAAATAAATGTTATGGAAGTCAATTGAGTCCCATCAACTGTTTGGTTACCAGCATTCTTCGAAATATCTTATTTTGTGTTCAGCAGAAGAAAGAAATTCACACAGGTTTGGAACAACTTTGCATTTTTGGGTGAACTATCCATTTAAGTAATGAGAAGGAGAATAATGTATAGATTGGACAGAATTGTAGTTCTAAAAAAATAACTGCTCAATCATACAACATGTTTCAGTCACAGATAAACAGTTTCTAGGCAAATAGATCAATATATTCCAAGCATACGTTTTCAGTACAACTAACCTCATACATAAATAGATATAATATATTTTGTGTTTACGCAACAATTCAATGCTGACAGTTATTTGAGCCTATCAATTTACCAGACCACTTACTTTATAAATCGTGGCCCAGTCAATGGAAACCTAGAGTCATATTTCATTGTTTGAATCTAGAGTATAATGATGTCTAAGTGTTAGCATTTATTTGTTATTTGAGTCTATTCATGTATTTTTTTTCCCTCTTTCAGTGCAAGGTTACCTTGGCATCTCTGATGCTTAATGCAAAGCATACACATTAATAAAGGAAATGGAATTCCTTTGTTTTTGTTTATGACAATGAATGAAAATTTACGGGCTGTTCTTTTTTTCACACAGGCAAACCAATAAAGGAGGAATTGAAAGGAGGGAGTAATTACACCAGAGGACAGCTCAGGGAAGAAGAGCCACATTTTGTTTCTCGTCAAAAGGATAGCAGTTAAAGAACGACAGAAATACAACTGAGATCCAGAATCGCCCTCATGGCTAGGGGGAATGCCGTGATTGTTGATTTGATTGGTGGGAGTGCTGTCAATCATCTGTCCGTTGCAGCCTGAAGGCCGGTTTCACCTTGGCTGTGGGAGAAGGGAGGAGTGGAGGACTGTGAATTCAAATAACTCTGCCAACCGCAGCTGGACCATGTCACGGCTCAGAGGAACTCCATGGATAACACTCACCATGGTTCGTCCGCTGGCTACTCTCCGTCTTTTTTCCTGGATTGTGCTTGCGGCTGCTTGGCTAGCCATTACACAGGGCCAGCAGCAACCCATTGTCACGACAAACTACGGCAAGCTAAGAGGCTTGAAAACATCTCTGCCCAATGAGATTTTAGGGCCTGTGGAACAGTATCTGGGGATTCCCTATGCCCTCCCGCCCACGGGAGAGAGAAGGTTTCAACCCCCTGAGCCCCCCATGTCCTGGCCTGGGATTCGAAATGCCACACAGTTTGCTCCCGTTTGTCCTCAGTTTCTGGAAGATCGGTTTTTACTCAATGATATGTTACCTGTATGGTTCACCGCCAACTTGGATACCGTTGTAACCTACGTACAAGATCAAAGCGAAGACTGCCTATACTTAAACATTTATGTTCCCACCGAGGATGGTATGTAATTTCATTACCATAACATAATGTGATGTTTGTCTTTAATTTTTTCTTCTCAACAAGTTTCATCATTGTTTGTTTGCTAATTAGGTTGTAGAAATGACATCTTTTTAGTTGTGATAGACCATCTCGGTTGTTTTACAGCACCGTCTGTTTAGTTAGCATCATCACAATGCGACCTTTGAAGATTTTCCAAACTCAGCAAGTTGAGAATTCCCAAATGGCTTTTTGTGTGTTTGTTGCTGAAACTCTGAAATTAGATTTGACCATATTTTTTTTTTAGTAAGATACCCCATCACATTTAGGTTATTGAGCAAGCTCATGACTATCAATTCAAAGTAAACATTTTTTTTCTCAAAATCTGGCTAGTATACAATTTTATTTCTTTTGGGAAAAATTTTGACCATGAATGTTTTGGATGGTGTATATCCACTTATGTATTTTTTAATTGATGTTATTTAAATTTAAATTATTTTAATAATTTACAGATATCACTCAATTGTTTGTCCTATAGGCTTCAGCTGCATGATGGTGAGTTAAATTTAGCTTGAACACTAGATTGACATTAAAAAAGTAAGAAACGGGATTAACTTGCAACTGAAGTCACTCACGGAGGTTAATTAGCCATATTTGTATCATCAAATGATATATATATATATATATATATATTTTTTTTTTTCATTACTATAACATCATGATGATAAGATATTTAGTCAGGGATGTGATTAGTCAGTCATTTGGGGAGGGAAGCTATGAATCTTGCTCTTTATTACATTTATTACTTTGTTACATTACTCTTTATTTATAAATATAACCTTTGATAAACAGAAGTATGTATTGGAACCTGAATTCTGAAATCTATATTGAAATTTGGAATAACTGGAATAATTAGGAATATTATCCATGATTCTGACCTGAAATCAAAGTTACTATATTCCTTCCTATGTATTCATGACTAGGGCTGCAACAAACGATTATTTTGATAATCGATCAATCTAACGATTATTAGAACGATTAATCGACTAATCGTCGATTATTCCGCAGACTAATCAGTAAGTTTGGAACGATTATTCAGCTTTTCCAATTAGTTAAAACATTGAGTTATACATATTCTAACTATAATATAAAAAAATAAAATCACTTCAGCTTTTGAAATAGTTGTTTTAATGAACTTTGAGCCAAATAAACAGGTCATTCTCTTTAAGTTTTCAGATTTCGGTCCAACTCAAATCACACACAAATGCTCTCTAAGCATTGTTTAATAGGCCCACTGCTTTTCTTAGAACTGAAACAGAAAAAGGGACATTTACTTCAGGACACAAAGAATGGTAAAATATTAAAGGGTCATGAAACCCCCCTCTATCAGCTCAAGTCTAGCTCATAATCTTTTTGAAAAATGCAACTTAAATGGGCGTGGATGGCTGTGAGAAGAAGGGAGGGAGTGGGTGTGGCACGGCAGGGGAGAGGGGGAACTGTCATCAGCCAGCAGTGTTGCCAGATGTACGATAATTATCGTATTTGTACAATAATTTTGACCTCTGTACAATGTACGATCAATAATGAACAATAATCTCAGAGTTTTCAGTCGTTCGTCCAAACACACATCCTACCGCTTCTCTCTCTGACCCCGAATCATTTCGCAGGCTCGCCTGCCTGCACGTACACACACACACAACACGGTGTCGCCCGGCCCGCACGTCAACACTACACATTCACAAGTCTCCCGCATTAAGCATACAATTGATATATTATCGAAATATCTAAAATGTTCATAACGACCGCTTATTTAACAAAAGGCAAGTAAAATGACCAGGGTTACATTTTAGACACACACTCTGAAGGGATAGAAAAGTCCTCAGGACTTGGTACCGCATTACTCGCAAGACGTAACTTGCATTGGTCATCGACAAGGCCGAAGTCCACCATTCTCCAATTCTCGAAGCTCTCTCGGGTAAAATGTTTGCGGCACTTGCGTCCCATGATGGTCTCTCTCCTTTACTACGCGATATCACAGTTTGACATGTCTGTGGAAAGATCCACGTGGTGTCATGAATAAGTAAGAGACCGTGTCTTCTCATAGGATATAAAAACTCAGTCTCATTAATAATTATGAGAGACCGATGAGTCATCAACGCACTACACTGTGCACTGCCACGTCACAGCCTGCGATGAAGATTTTAAACCCGGAAGACGAAAATAGCTGGAAAAAACTCAAATTTAACCATTTTCGCCCTACTATTAAATCTAACAGATGCTAACATTGTCTTCAATGTTGTTCAACACACATACCTCTGTTAAAATCTCAGAAAATTTGGTTTAGGGTTTCATGACCCTTTAATCTGCAAACAATTATTATAAGAATAAAATTACAATCTTTTTTTACATGACAATTGAGCTGACAGAGATGTTCTCATTCACCTTTTAATTTATAGTATGATAAAGTAACTGCCATGATATTCTTCCTATATCATAGGAAGGATATAACATCTCGTTTTGTAAGTCTTCATGATTATTGAACAAAATACAGGCAAGTGATAAGACTATAATAATACCTAATATACTAATAGTGTTACAATAATAAAAACAGCCCTGACTCCTAAGCTCGATCAAGCTTTATTCTATGCAAAATAAGTCATCACATTACTGTAATTATATTACTATTGATAATATTATTACTATTATTAGTAGTATTGCATTCTCTAATAAAGAGAGATTTACCGCTGGTTAGTAAGCTGGAGAACACTCACTTCTCACCGGCTCCTCTTTTGCCGGGATGTTTCCTCTTGCACACGTGCATGTTGTGCTCCCGTGAAAAGCAAGTTCCGCCTTGCATGTATTGAACACGACAGCATTCTTGATTTGAAGTTTTGTGAAACTTTCCCAAACCTAAACCTTGCTAGTTCGGATTCGTTTGCACTGTCATAATTCGCGCTGTGTTTTCTTCTACCGCAATAGCATTTGTAAGGGCTGCACTACACTCTAGCGCTACAGCGCCGTAGCGGTCAAATCACGGGATTGCAGGCCCTTACATTAGGTCACGTGAGATCAAACGACTACTCGACAACAAAGATATTTGTCGACAAATATTTATTGTCGACGTTGTCGACAACGTCGACTAATCGTTGCAGCCCTATTCATGACTGTTGCAATGCAGTAAATTTCCAACAGAATGTGTCAGAAAATGTTGACATCTCACAGTTGTGCTTTAAAAAAGTCCCTCCTGTGATGTTGAAATTCAATCCTCCTTTGTGTCATACTGAAGATGGTCATCCCCTGTTAGCTTTCAAACGCTTACCGCCCATTATGCCTTGGCTCTCCAAATTGCCCTTTTCAAAATCCTGTGTAATATGGGAACATCCTGGTATTTTTGACTCAAAGAGGGACATGCTCTGAAGTTGTCCCACTGTTGAAAGAGGATGCCAGATATAAAAAAAGCCCTTTTGTGCCATATCAAAAGAAAAAAGCATGATGTTCAGGGCTAGAATTGGAAAACCTGGATCACCTCTTCCTGATCTGTAGAAAACAGGCTAGAGACATAAATTCTCTGTTTTAGTTTCCTGCATCTTTTGTTAGCTATACGCACAAAAGAGACTACAGTCTGTTAGTGACAGAGTCAGCTTTATCTTTCAGTGTTACGAGTGAAGGCTGTGGAGGTGGCATCCTGTTTTGTTGTGAATTAATCACAATGAATGCCTCAGCCTAAAGGGACGGTCTTGGTGAAGAAACAATGCAGGCTCCCTTCCATTCTTTAATTGGGAAAGCTAACCAATTTTTTTTCTATTAGACTATTCAAAAAACCCATTCAGAGAAAAGGAAAGAAGTTGAAAAGAGGCAGTCATGACAAATCAGTGCTTGTTACCCTCATTGTTTATCTCAATGGGTGGACTTCTTTAACAAATGAAATCCAGTCTTGTTTTAAAGGTAATTGAGATCTACATGTAGATTGCAAATGGGTAACTGACACCTATGATCATGTACTGTAATTAATCCCACTCCCTGCTGCACAGCCTATCAGCCTATATATAAATTATATGACCAGACAATTGTATGCCAGACAATATTTGACACACTTTTTACTCGTGCGGATACATTATTTATTAATTGTAAATAATTTATTTAGAGATTTATTTTGGGATAAAAAAAATTTTAAAAATAAAAACACGAAACAATTACAAAGTAAAACAATTATAATAGCAATATATAGCCACAGTGATATGGTAAAATATTAATATGTTACTAGAAATACTAGTCATATTAATTATTAGTCTTAGTCTTATGTCCTACTTCACATGGATGTGCAAAACTTGATTCCATCATTTGAGAATATTACAAATAACTTCAAAGCAACACAATCTATCCTTTTTTTACCAAAGAGTTCAAATTTTGTCAAATGTGCTTATTTGATAAGTAAAAAGTGAAGAATCATAAGTATTTCTTATTTATATAAAGCCGTAACATATATATATATATATATATAAATATATATACATATATATATATTTTTTTTTTATCGCAAAACTTTATTTTCACCTTGAAGTTGTTTTTTGAATCCTAGACTTTCAATCTCATCTCATTCTCTTTCACGCCACTAAATATATCTCAGAATACAGTACATCTGAGAAACTGCTGATCTCCTGGGATTGCCACACACAACAGTCTCTTGAGTTTTGAGAGTACGAAAAAGAAAGGACGAAAGAAAAACATCAGATGAGCAGCAGTTGGTGGTGATGCTGGTGAAATTGCTTCGTTAATGAGAGGGTTTGGAGGAGAATGGCTAGAACGGTTCAAGCTGTCAGGAAGGTGGCAATAACTAAAATAACAAGGTATTACAACAGTGCTATTCCGAAAAACATCTCTGAATGCACACTTTGAACCTTTAACTGTTTGGCGGCAACAGCAGGCAAACACAATATGTTCCTCTGTCAGCCAAGAACAGGAGGCTGAAGCTACAGTGGGCATATGCTTGCCAAACTGGACATTAGATGATTGAAAAAAAAAAA